TCCAAAGCGCGTGCACGAACAGCAAGATTAAATTAGGATTATCTTTGCTTTGGACCTTTTGTGTTTTTACTTGGAAAGAAGGGGACGCGCGCGGTGCCATTAACCCTCTGATGCGATCCGCGTGCATGCCGTTGACTCTGCCAGCAATTTGATTTAAAGGTCATTCTCTCCTATCGATCCGGTTTGGAGAGGGGGCGACTGAGCAGCGTAGGAATTGATCATCTAAAATAGAAGAGACGGTATTGGAGACTGTACGGAGCGCTGCTGCATTTATAATTGCTAACCACGCACCCCGTGTGAATTGGAACGTGCGCGCGCTGTGAGAGGAACGGGTGAAGACGTGGGAGAGACGACGCGGGCTCCGGCTTCAGTCAGGCTAATCTGATTTCTATTAAAATGACATTATTTTGAATAATAAGGTCGGCGTGGTCAGAGCCGGCTATGCGGGACGGCCAGTGTGGGTGGGATGTGTAATGAGCAAAAAGAGGTTAAACGACTGTGAACTGTGAGTCGTCTCTCGCTGCTAATCCCACCATAGCACAGCCTTAAAGGGAAGCCAAACTCTCAGACTTTCACTTGACAGCTCCGTAAGATTCGTCCTGTTATGTGTTATGAAAGGTGAGCTGTTAATGGGAGGGAAGGTGTTGCATGGCGGAGATGGAGGGGGTTGCATGGCCGCATGGCGCAGCTCCAGAGATGGGAAGGAGATGCCGGGGAATGGAAATCGATACAGATTCAGGGCTCACCAGATCGGCCTTAACAATTGGCGCAGACGCACTCTGCATCCCGATCACACACATACTGGAGAGAAGAAATGGAGGAGGCGACAATTGCGAGGTGCTGGTGGTAAAACACTATCCTGTGGGAATTAACGTATATGGTATTGCTTTGTGCTGTTTCGCAGTTCCAGCATGACTCCAGCGGTGCATTATTATAAGTCCTCATTTCACACTCGAACATCAGGATTCCTCTAAATGTGTTTGTTTAGGAGTCCAGCCAGCCTCTCCACACGAGGCTACAGATAATGTCATTTCATTTGGAATGAGCTTCACTGAACTCGGGATTTAAACAAAATAGCCTCGAGGTATAACCTCAAGAAAATGACTGTTGCCCTCCCACAAGGGGATTGAAAAGGCGATGCTTGTACACGCGTGTCTCAGTACTTACAGCACATGATGCTGTGCTTAACGAACAACGAAGCTCTGAAACCACAGCTGCACTGTTTACTCCCCTATCTTCCCCTCATACATCAATTATTAACGTACCAATCGATTATTTCGCAGGCCAGCATCAAGCCATCTTTTCATGTAAAAAAAAATGCTGTTTGAGATTATCCCTCATCAATCACTTCTTAATGTTTCTACCAGTGAAACCCGTTATACTAGATTAAAAACTAAAAAAAAAAACACCTTTTAGGCATTTTTATTACGTCAGGATATTTCCGTGAAAATCCCAAAATAAAGATGACCTCCACTTTGTATCTGCAGCTGCTAAAAGAAGCTGGAGATGTGATTTAAATGGAAACCCCGATGGGCTCCGTGCTGGACTGGAAAGTAGGATGCGTGGTGGTGTGATTGACGCGATTGTGGATTGTAATATTGATCGTTGGGTGGAAGCTGTTGGATGAAATAATGGTGTTTAGAGGCCACAAGAACGGTATCAAGTATGTATTTGGAAAACTCCAGATCACCACCTTCGACTGTCCTCAAACCTGCGGTGGATATTTCAGCACTCTGGACAGCGCCAGAAACTGACCAGCAGGAAAACGCTTTGTAGACATAAACACAAAGCTTTAACCATCTTCTGTGTGCCACACACAAACCAACACACATCGATTTAATTTAAAGAAAAGCAACAATTTAATTAAAATATACAAAACACCCAGAATTCATCAGTTTGATATAAAAGCCTGAGTTTATCTCAAAATGATGAACCCCTAACCAAAATGAAGGCCGTGCGTTGTAAGGAATAGAAATGGGCTGGGGATCTTAATAAATACATATATTTACCCAGGAAAATGAATGGATTAGTGCAGAGAGGAAAGGGCGCAGAGTGACGCTGATGGGGGGGATGGTGGTGGATGAGCTGGAGTATAGCTCTAGGATTAGGCCTGTGTAAACTGCGTGTAGTCCATTGAAACATGAATAGAGGCCTCCCACCGTCATTTTCGACAATGTTTTTCCTCTGTGTCCTGTGGGTCTTGACCTCCACACCCTGGCACGTGCTCCGGCCATTTAGATGGAAATGAACCTACTGCGCTTTTTTTTTGAGAGAGAGAAAGGGGGGACCCTGGCATGCCATGGCACATTATCACTGGTAAATGGGAGGAAACGAAGCGGATATTCCTGGAAGGTAGGAATGTATTTTTTCTGATGATATTTCCCATGTTGTCCAACATCTGTTGGAAAAACGTGAACATTACCCGGGTGCACGAACCCCCAAAGAACAAACGAGGGATTATACACCGCATAAACAAACAGAACATGATAACAGGAAAGAAAAATATGTGCAGGAGCGTTTTTTAAACCAGCTGTCCCCTTTCCCAACCTTTTCCGGCTCCCGCCTTCCCCCTCCCTTCTGCTCCAGGGGAGAAACCAATGGGAGAGAGTGCTGAGGCTGGATAATTGATAGATGCACTGGCTATCCTTATCGATCAGGGCTGTATTGACTCGACCAAATACATTGAGATGGAGTGTGGAATTCAACACAGATGCAAAGACGAATTGTTTTCATCGTTAATGCGATCTTTAAATGCCCCCCAAACCTCACTCTGCCCGCGTCTTTCTTAAAGCTGCCCGCTTACACAACAGCCGTCTGCATAATATATGTTCAGAGTGTGGAAATGCCTTTTGTTTACGTGGCCTGTGTGTTACAGGTCTGCATATGAAGAACACAGTAAGTGGAGAAAGCATTAGGAGATGTTAAGCGTGAAGGACACACATCCCCCCTCCAAACGTGCCCACCTTTGCTCTGCTTTTCCTGTCGGCAGTGAATTGTCATGTGTGTGCGCGCGGACACTGGTATTTTCGCATTAGCTAAGCAGGGCAGCTGCATTGATTCGCGTGACTGTGATGAATTTGGAATAGTAATTTGAATTTATTGATTGATGTGGCCGAGCGAGTATGGCCCAGCCTCACTTTCAGCATCCAAACCCCCACCCGCCTCCCCCAACTCCCACTCCCAACCCACATGAAAGCCGAGGATAATTGTGATTTTAAATGCAATGAGTAAAATGTTGCTCCCTGCATTTACATACGAGTCATTTGTCATTTTAACCCACCTAGAGTGTCCTTGCTGATTGATTGCACAGTGAAGGCTTAAGAATCAGCTTTTTCCAAAAAGAAGTATTTATTAATTGTGTGCTGGGAATTTCGAATAAACTTCATTTATTCATTTAATGTTGATAACATTTGCACTTTCTGGAAAACTAAAATGTGGTAAAACACTGCAGCTCTTATTTTCGTTCACCACTGAGCACCTCTAGTCTGTCCCGGACCTGAGCACAAATATGCGGCAGCCGTGTGCTGCACAGGACTGTGCCACTCCAGCACGCTAGTTGAATTGAGGGTTTTATCCTGGTGCCGGGTGTGGAAGATATAAAACCCCACTGCCCAATTAGCTTTAACAGCAGTGGCACTTAAAGAGACAATTGTGGAGTGTTTAAATCTTTATTTACCAGAACCCCACTAAATACGCAAAGGAACAATTTACATGCCATTAAGTGCTTTTCAATAGGGCATTGACTGGAACTAAAATATGCCACTATATCTGCTTAATTGAACTGTTCACTGAAATACGACGCAGAAGCGCTGATTGACGTTTGGAAGAGCAGCGCGTCTAAACAAGGCCTTTACAGAAACATCAATGATGGGGAACCTTTCACTCACATCTTTGTATTAACTCCACCGTGGCGCTTGTTTTCATTTATATCCTATTAATCAGGTTGCAAGTGTTAAAGACTTTAAAGTGGGCAGAGATTTGGGTTCAAATCACAGCCTTTAATGTGACAATCTGTGCGCGATAAAAATCGAAACGATGGATCAAAGTGGCGAACCATTCAGAAAACCGAAATGCTGAGGCAGAGAAGGTCTGTGCCACATTTAGTATTTGTCCTGTTAAGCTGAGATCTCATATAACTTCACAAACCGCAATAAACAATTTCTCAGCACAATGACTAAATAGGCCTTAAATCAAATTAGTAGACAGAAATCCCAGAGAGAAGAGGGGACAACACAGACCAGAGAAAGACGCATCTGTTTGTGTCTTACAGATCCAGATCGATCATTTATCACTGCGCTACTCTGAAAGGGGACGCCTGGTCCTGGAATATTGATCCATAGGAGGTCATGCTCCCCAGACTCTTTGGCCAGGCCTCAGACGATCCTTGTTTGTGACCACGCGCATATTTGACAAGGAGAGCGCCAAAGAATTAGATGAGGTTTGTTAAATAAATAAAACTGGGTGTTCGGGGCACAACGATATCAAAGTGTAGTGTTTACCTTTCAAGTAAGATTGAATCAATTTCACTTCTCGCTCTGAGTTCCTTTGTTTCGCCCCTTTCTGCGTGCGTGCGTGCGTGCGTGTGTGTGTGTGTGTGT